AGTCCCCTGACCTCCCTGAGCCTCAGTTTCCCCCTAATGGTGAGGCCAGCCTCACAGAGTGTTGTGGGAAGGGAAGTGAGCTGGCACCTATGTAGTTCGTCCTGCAAGGCCGGCCCCAAGCACACTCACAGGAAGTGTCCCAGCCAGTGTCGGTGGGAGGAAGTGTCCGGCGTCCATACCACTGTCCAGGCTTAGTGTTGCTGGTTGCCTGGCCCCAGGAGGAAACCCATGGGTTGTGATTACTGTACAAAGAAGAGAGAATTAGGGTCCACTTATGTCAAACTCGTTCATCAACTGACCAAACCAAAGAAAGCCAAACAAACCCTCCAGTCTGTCCGGATTCAGGCAGCCTCAGATAGACAGCGTGGAGCTGGGCTCCCCTGGTCTTCCTGGCCGTCGTCTTCACGGGAGAAGCTGACCACCAGGCCTTTCTTCTGCAGTGCTCTGGGCGGACGTGAACCTCCAGCCTTTAGGTTAGTACACAAGGGTCGACCATTTGTGCCGGTTTGTGAGTCAACGCATTCAGTCTCCTTCCCACTCCTGCATGAGACAGAGCCCATGTTTAATGTTTCCTGGATGAAAATGGAACATGCCCCGTTCAGTGCGTCGCAGGAAATGCACTTTGCTGGACGCGCGGGTTGGAACCCTTGGCCTCCCCGGGGCTCCACCGAAGCAGTACCCCGTCCCGCAGCAGCGCGCTCCTCGCTGAGAGATGCCTTGGAGGGTGCTTGTCCCCGGAGATTGCCAAAGGAGGTGCTCGGATGGAGTGACAAGCGCGAGAGCGGAAGCCGGGGCGCGTCGAGGCTTATTGCCACTCAGCTGCTCCTGCTGCTAACGACAGCACTGGCGCTGCCGTCAGCGAGAGATATAATAACGTTAATTTTAGCTCAGCGGGACTTGTCTTCAAAGGCATCGTGACCTTTGACCCAGAGCATTCGTGGGCGACTGCCTTGGACGAGATGAAGGGTAGCTGGACCACGCTGCCCGTCAGAGGACTCGGCAGCAAGGCTGGGAGGGCCCCGAGGAAGCGACGGGAGGAGGCAGGGACGGTGGCAGTTACCGGCAGAATGGCATCGCGAGGTCTTGAGGAGTGGCAGTTAAAACTGACTGCGGGCATGTGCACAGCACAGCTAGCGTGTGTCTGCGGCTTTCCCCACGCCAGCTCCAGTGAACCCCCTGACAAGGACACACGCCTCGAGAGCCTTCTTGCATTAATACATTCCTGGCTGAACTCCGGTCAAGGCTGTCGGAACCAAACCAGACAAGAACGCCAGCACAAAGGCGGTTCGCCCTGGCGTCTTCCATGGTGGGGAGCAGAGGCCCGTCTCCGGCATCCAGAGGTCCACAGAGCGGCTGTGGGAATGTGAGTCATGGAGGGGACAATATGGAGGACCAGAGCAGAGCCTCGTGGTCCAGGGACCCCTGCCCACCCGCAGGTCTCTAGCACACTCCCTCCTGCACCCTTGGCTTGCAGCAGTCTTATGAAGACTTGTGTCCAGTTTTAAAGATGAAGGGATGGGCAGGGTCACCGTGTGGCACAGTCACAGCTAATCCTTCCATCTCAGAGCCTTCGCTTTTTCCTCCAGAAGCCCAGGCCTAATGGCCTCCAAGGCCCTGCCCCTTCTGCCAGACTGGGGGCTCTGGTCACTCCAGTCTCGTGTGCTGGGGACCTCCATGCTGGCTGTGCTGACTGGGGGTGCCTCCTATCCCCACCCTTCCTCATTTCCGGGTTCAATGTCTGTTCCTCAAAGTGGCCTCCCAGCCCTCCCGGCCCCCTTGACCCCCTCAAAGTGCTGCTGACACACAGACCCACTCCCGAGAACTCCCTTCTCAAGTGCACTGCCGTTCAGAGGAGAGGGTTCAGAGGACAGGCTCAGTCAAGCAAGGGTCTGGGGTCCAGCATGCACCCACACATCAGGCCCATGGTCAATATTTGAGTGAATGGATGGACTGATGAATGAACAAAACATTCAGGTGGTCTGAGCAGCCCTTCTGGAACCTTCCAGCTCAATTTCATGATGTTCCCTTTTACCTTGAGGACATTGTCTCTGAAGTGCCTAGCGCCCCTCCACCTCCCCAAGCAGTGCCACGTCCCGTGGAGCCTCGTACCCTTTGTTCCTGAGGCAGGCCCTCAGCGTCCCCACTGTGGGGCACCCCCTGTCCCCGAGGCTGACCCTCAGTGTCCCCACGGTGGGGCACCCCATGACCCCGATGCTGACCCTCGGCGTCCCCACTGTGGGGCACCCCGTGACCCCGATGCTGACCCTCGGCGTCCCCACTGTGGGGCACCCCCTGTCCCCGAGGCTGACCCTCGGCATCCCCACTGTGGGGCACCCCCTGTCCCCCGATGCTGACCCTCAGCGTCTGCACTGTGGGGCACCCCGTGACCCCGAGGCTGACCCTCAGCGTCCCCACTGTGGGGCACCCCGTGACCCCGATGCTGACCCTCGGCGTCCCCACTGTGGGGCACCCCGTGACCCCGAGGCTGACCCTCAGCGTCCGCACTGTGGGGCACCCCGTGACCCCGAGGCTGGCCCTCGGCATCCCCTCCTGCTGCTGACGGAGCCGTGTCCCCTTCCAGCTCAGAGCGCACGCCGTCGACATGAACGGGAACAAGGTGGAGAACCCCATCGACCTCTACATCTACGTCATCGACATGAATGACAACCGCCCCGAGTTCCTCAACCAGCTGTACAACGGCTCCGTGGACGAGGGCTCCAAGCCAGGTGAGCACCGCTGCTGCCCGG